TACATTGCACGTGAACATACACACTTTATCCCCTTAGATGAATCCTACTAGTGCTGAAGAACTTTGACAAAATCTCCTGAAATCTTTCAAAAGCTGTAACTCATGATAGAACTATCTGGACTGAGTCATGGCAGCTAAATTAATACAGTGCCGTCAGTACAGCTTAAATCTTTAATGTTAACATTTAAACATTCCTTCTGCCAGCTCCACGTTTAAAGGACTGTCACTTTTTTTTAAATTAAATTGTCTTCCTCGGTTTGATGCAAGTTCTATTTTCCATTTCACTTTTGGTTATTTCCATAGAGACGACTCAACTGAAAATTGGACTATGTTGTCAATTTTGACACATCCCACCTACCTGACATTTCTCTGTCCTTTATCTATCACATCGAATAAATTCAAAGAAATGGAATCAGGAAGAAGATACAGTAGGTGTGAGATAGTTTGCACCAGGGGAAGGTAGCTATTAGGGATCGACAGATATAATTTTTCCAGGGCTGATACCGATATTCGAGCCACATTTCAGGTGCCAATTTTCTGTACATTTAAAGTTGTGAAAAATCAATTTTTAACTATACTAGGGCATGCAGACCCTGGTCACCACACAGGCATGCTTGGACCAGTAGCCCCTGGGGACCTCACAGGCAGGGCCGGATTCGCCACAAAGCCACCGAGGGCCGGCCTCGGGGCGGCAGGGAGCAGAGGGGCGGCAATGGTGTGGAATCTTCCGACACCCAGGACATGAAGTTCTGGGCGCCGGGTGGTAAGTTGTTTTCTACATTTAGCCCTGCTTTGGGCAAGCAGGACTAAATGTAGTGTGAGGAAGTCACTTGTTTCTTTACAAGTGATCTCAGCGGTGTCGCCAAGATCACTTGTAATAGGTCCAGTGGCGTCACAAGCGGGGTGTGGCCCGTATCCAGGTGACACCATTGGAGGGGTGACACCAAAATTACTGACAGTCATTTTGTCTGTCATAACCACGTGTGCACGCGCGTGGTTATGTCAAGTGCATGCGCGATGATGTCACGGCGGGGTGTCACCCGGTCTCCACTCCTCGGGACACTCCTGAGTAAGACTGCAGACGATCTGTCCCTGCTCACAGGCATGCTGGGACTTGTGTTCCTCGGGAGACCACAAGTATACTGGGGCAGGTCCTACTCCCTGCATACTTGTGGTTTTCAGAGGACCACGAGTCCCAGCATGTCTGTGAGGTTACCTGGGGACTTCTAGTCCCAGTGTGCCTGTAAGATCACAAGGGACTACAAGTTCAAGCATGTATGTGTGTGGTCACCCTTGGACTGCAGGTCCTAGTATACTTGTGGTCTCTGGAGGTACACAAGTCCATGCATGCCTGTGAGGTCACCAAGGAGGACTACTAGGCTAGTGTAGAAGGGATTAGGGAATAACAATTCTCTTATCTTTAATAAAACTTGCCGTGTACTTTTTTTACTTTCATTTGCAGAGTCCAAATATTACATATACATTTTGATTCTTAATTATTTAGCTTGTTCAGCTTCACCTTGTGTCTGGCTGACTGGCTGTGCTCTGTCTGTCTCTGCCTCTGTCTCCTTCTCCTCCATGCCTGCAAGAATTATGTGACAGGCGAGGAGATCACTCTGCAGAGGTGGCAGCGCACAGGACACAGGCTGGGGACCAGCTGCTAACGGACACTGGCCGCTCTCCCTTGAATATTGGCAATATGGGTCAGATGAATACCGATGCTGATTGTTGTACTCATTGAGGGGAATTCATCAAAACTGGAGCAGACAAAAATTGGAGCAGCTGTGCATGGCGACCAATCAGCTTCTTTCTTCAGTTTGTTCAGTTAAGATTTGAAAATGAAAAGGAGAAGCTGATTGGTTGCAATGCACAGCTGCTCCAGATTTTGATTGCTCCAGTTTTGATAAACTCCCCTCCATGTGATTATCGGCCATAATAATCGGTTGATCCCTAGTAGCTATATTGGGAGGGAAGAGGGACAATGGAAGGGTAATTGATGAAGAAAGCAGTAGGGTTGTCCTGTAATAAACAGTGTAGGCCAGATGGCCAACCAAGAGTCAGGTCAACTACGTAAATGGATGAATGTAACTCTAAAAAATAGCAGCTTTCAGTCAAAGTCTATCAGAAAACTTTATATTTCCAATTTATATTTCCAATCATCCTTCCAAGAATGACAGGTAGAAACACAGCTCCACACAACCTCCAGTGTCATCAGAGTGCCAGGATCCACTTCACCCAAAAGTGACAGTGGAACATACATGGTACTTTTGTCCTTTACTCAGGATGGGTTCTACCATAGGGACCTCATCCCAACTAAAGGATCAAAGTATAGAATTCCAGGACTAACCATTCTGAAAGTTAATAGTGGTGCACACTCTTTAGTTTTGTCCTTGCCCCTCCAAAAGGGACCTACTTGGTGGGACCCCTTTCCGGTTTGATGGACAGAACTGTAGAGCATCAGGACCAATCATACCCAAAAGTGAAAGTGTTACACACACTGTGTATCGGTCCTTTATTTAGTATGGGTGCATTTACGGGGACATCTTCCTGATTGAAAAATTGAGTATTGAGTGCCAGGACTGACCGTACCCACGCTGTATGTATGGTCCTTTACTTACTTGCAGAGATCTTATTCTTGATTGAAGAACCACAGTATAGAGCAAGTGTAGGCAAACTCCAGCCATCCAGCTGTAGTTTATCTATACTTCCCATCATGCATCTGCCTCTGGGAGTCATGCCTGTGGCGGTCAGAGTCTTGCAATGCCTAATAGGATTTGAAATTGCACCACAGCTGGAAGTCCCGGGTTTGCCTATGCCCAGCATCTAGACCAACCTCTCCAGTAGGTGACAGGAGTGTACATGCTGTACTTTGATGTTTCATTCAGAACGGGGACCACTCACAGTGAGCTTATTACAAGTAGAAAAACCTCCCTGTGTGCTAATGAATTCCTTCAACCTCTCGAGGGTCAAGGAACAATGTGATTATAGCATTATTGTACCATTTGTGACCACCCTGACTTGACTAAAAGGTTGCACGTCCTTCTTAACTAATTAGGTTCTCGTCTTAGTCGTGTCAGATTTGTCAATTCAGAGAACCGAGGCCAATTAGTTACGTATGCTGCACATTATTTTTTAACACAAAAGAAACTATGTTTAATTAATTAGACTGAATTTACTCTGCCATCCCGACACTGTTAGAATGAATGTTTATAATTGTAGTATTCCCCTTCTTTTTTTATGTCATAAAAGTCTAAGGGGGTTATTCACAAAGGAGCTGAAGGATCCAGCCGTAGCTTCGACTGATCCTTTGGCTCTCTGCGGCCGCCGGAGCCATTCGGTTCAGTCGAATTTCAAGGGCTGCTGTATAGGCTATTCACAATAGCTTGTACAGCAGCCGAGCCGAAGGCGTTTGCTTCAGCTTGACTGAGCCGAAGTGTCAGCCGAAGCGGGGCTGGCTCTCACGGCTGGCTCCACCCAGTTGTACTGAAAGATCAGTGTCCCCAAATGACCTGGGGACGCTGAACTGTCATTAAACAATAACAACTGACATCATGGGTGCCTCCGCCCAGTTGTTATTCATTGGCCGGGAGCTGCTGGAAGACTCTAGCAGGTGCCAGCCAATAGGAAACAGTTGGGCAGAGCTTTCTGTCACTGCTAGCTCCGCCCAATTGTTTTTTGTATGTTTTTTGTATTTTTTTTAGAAATCTTTATTTATGTTGAAATTTTACTATTTATTTAATTTTTTTTAATTTTGTCAATCTTTTTTTCCCCCGACTATTTTCATTGATTTACTATTCTGCTCAGTACCACGAAAGTACTGAGCAGAATAGCCGAGATGAATGTCGCTCGGCGGCATTCGGCTATTCACTCACTGCCGTTCGGCCTCTATGTGAATAGGGGCGAACGGCAGCGAGTGAGCTGCCGGAGCTTCGCCTCAGCTGATCCTAGATGTTGGATCGGCTGAGTTGAAGTCCTTCTGCACTTCGGCTCAGCTGAACATGTTTGGCTGACAGGAGGGCAGCCGAAGGCAGCCGATGTACGGAATGAATAGCTGAGCGAACATTGTTCGTCTTACTTCACTTCGGCCGGGTTATTCACTCAGCTGCCTTGGGCAGCTGAGTGAATAACCATCTAAATCTAATCTGATTAAAAAAAACGGGTAAAGGTTTAAAATGCTACGCTGCTGAAATCTTTACATGCAACTGGTTACTAAAGCACTCCATCCAACATGGATCTGTCCATTTTAGGTGGGAGGGTGCAGGATTTAATCTTCTCCCAAGTCATACCTGCTCTCTAAGACCCCAGTAGGGGGATCCATCATCCTGTCAAGGCTGTGCTATGTTAAGAGCTTCATCTGAGCCACTTGAGTCACTTTTCCATATAGTGCTATACAGGGCTGTCCCTACACTATTTGACACTTGCAACAAGGAGAGCAAGATTGGGAGTGGGGTTAAGATGATAATGCCAGTGTATGGTCCTTCTGGGGCGGTCCTATCAGCAAATGGTCGTTCCGGGGCTGGAAGTCTTATCAGCGAATGGTCGTTTCATGGGTTTGGGGGAGTTAGCTGTCAGCGGCTCTGTGAGGCGTCCTGCCCAGCTCACTGACATCACTGGTTGCCAAAAGATCAGCAGGATGCCAGCCAGAGCGTCCTGCG